CTGAATCTTTTATTATGGAGTAGTTGGATATTCGATAATGTTTTACAGAATAATACTCAGAAGGATGCAAATAAAAAAATTCCCCTTAAGGATAAAACTGTGTCAGCTTCTGACTTTTATTCATACAGAATTAAGGTCAGAAAAGAACTAKATAATAATTTACTTCGTTGTGGACCACTGTTAAACCAATATTTAGGAGAAATGTACTCAAAAATAGAGACCGAAAAATAAAATTTTATCAGAAATCGTCAAAAAAAGCTTGGAGCAGATAAATATATACATTTAAAAGACGCCGTTGGAAGACAAGATGGTTAAGCAGATCAACTTGGAACATTATTTGTGATGCCATTATATTTTATAAGAGGTCCACAATATATGTATGGACGATCCCAAGATGCACTGACGTACGTTCGACACTATAGCAGCTCAGATTTATTCATAACTTTTATGTGTAATCCAAAATGGCAAGAAATCTAAGAAGCACTTCTACCAGGACAAAACATTACTATCGCCCAGACATCATTGCAAGCTTTTTTAATTAAAAAGTTAAGAAGTTAATGGATTTATTGAAAAAAGGTGATTTGTTTGGGAAATTAAGGTGCGATATATTATATTCCATTGAATGTCAGAAGCGAGGCCTACCTCACGTACACCTATTTTTTTTCACAAATAAAAATATAAATATAAAAAAGGAAAAGAAGCACATACACTGAAAATTTGAGACCAAAGTTTGGGTGTGCTCTGAAATGCAATATTCAGAGCATGTTAAAATAAATATTTTTAACTAATGCTTATAATCAATAGTAAGGCATTATAGTATATTTTATTTATATATATTATTATTCGTTTACTTATAACCTTGATGTAAAGATTATTAAAAAAATTATTATACAAACATATTGTATCTTTTACCGTACATTTAACATTCTTGAATAATTGGTAAAATACAAGTATAGAATTTATAAAATGGCATAAATGTTATAAAAAGTTAAATTACACTATAAATTATACAATAATTATTAATAGTTAAGTATTTAATTTATAAATRTGTTTAATTTTGTRATGTGTTAATGTGTAACAAAACTTTCATTGAAGTTATTGTCAGGGATACGATTATTAGTTAGAGTTTCTCTGAACTCATAAGACCAAAATCCATTAAAATCTATCAAAATGTTTACTAATATATGACCCATCTTACTGCATATGATATCTTTTAAAGTTATTTTAGCTGGATTTTCTGGTTTGATCATATCAAATATTTCGTCTTTTATATCATCCAATGAAACCATCTGTTGTTGCTCCTTCGGTAATCGATCAGCAACAGCCTATAAAAAAAACAAATATTAGTTAAAACATAATACTAATATTTCAGAACTAGTACACTATTTAATATAGTAATAATGTATAAAAATTTATAATTTATGKCCATTATTTTTATGTATTCGATATATATCAATTTGATAATACTTTAATTTATCATAAGTAAAATTTAAATTCTAAAATTTAAAATTAAACGTCTAGTGTGATAAAATAATACAAATTAAGAACTAAAGACAAAAGTCCATAAACATTTAAAATATAAATTGAAACTAAACATTAAAATCTTGTATAACTTATTAGTCACTACATCTAACCAATTACTGTACGAAAACTAAATTGATGAATAAATATAGATTAAATTTAGAGAAAAATGTATATACAATCTCAACATCTAATAAAATAAATTTGAAACCGAAAAGTTCTGATATAAATAGTTTGATTTCTGTAAGATTCTTAGAAAATTTAATATCACTATACAATATCATGMTTCATGATCAAGATTCAAGATTCAAGTTCAATTAGAAATTTAGAAGTTAAACAAACAATACAGTAAGTAAAAATAGTGTAATCAGTTTAAATGTCAACAATCATAGTACAAATTGATTTCATTAATGATAAGGGTTTCAATTTATCAGCATTTTTAMCCTGTTTTATATTTTATTTATTGTCTAACATAATTTTAAACTATCAAGTCGATTGATATAACCTTTAAATATTTGACTATTAGTGTTTCATACAATACCAAAACATATTAAAATTAAACTGTTAACTTATACAGGGTTATTCACTAAGCATGCTTATCTCCCTTTTTTTTTTAAATTATGAACTTAATAGGACGCTACACACATATTTGTTGTATCTGTCTTACATGTGCGTAACATAGAAAATGTACGCTAAGCAGATCAAGTTTGATTCCGTTAGTTTAAAAATTAGAGTAAATTTACCTATTATGAAACTGATGGTAAGAAAATTATCTGTGATTTTAAGTGGGTTTTTAACGATAATTTAGTTTTAAAGTGAGTTAAGAGTATTTTTAATTTACGCTTTTTTATAAACGCATATGCTAGAACATTTAACTATCGTAAAACACCCACATACAAACACAGATAATGTTTTTAACATCAAGTTCTATAATAGGTTGACTCACTCAATTTTTAAACTAAAGGAGCTAAACGTGATCTACTGAGCGTAAATTTGCAATGTTATGCACGGAGAAAACAAATGGTTGTGTAGCGTCCCCTTGATCAAAATCTGATTTTTGGAATCTTTAAATATACTCAAAGACCATATTTTCAAATTCTTAAGATTTTTTTGTACCATTTAAGGAGTGTCTTTTGGCGATAAAAACTTAAGTTTTTTAATTGAGAACCCCCTATTTGCTATAAATTATTTAGTGGATAATTATTTTGAGAAATTTAACATTCCGAAATCAAAATTCAAACATGGAGTTTCCTAGTTATTAAAATGTTTGGACTAAATAATGTTCCTTAAAAATCATTTTACAAATTTATAAATTTCATGTACTATTGGATCTAATATTTATGATACTTAGRTCGTTTTTACAAACTATTTATGTTTATAGATTAAGATGACGCTACACCCGCATGTGTTGTCTCCGTCTTACAAGTGCGTAACATTGCAAAAACTGTTTCGCGCGGGAAAGAACCDRGAARGHTASAGTTATAACTAAGAAACGAAATTTTCACCACATAAAGAGGAGAATTTTGTCTGTRCAATATCGTTTTTATTTTTTCGATATCAGAACTGCAAAAAAAGTTATTCATGCTTAAAAAACACAAAATTAATGTATTATAAAACAATAAAAAAATTTTTTGTATAAGTGATATCGAAAAATAAAAAATGTTATTGAACAGGCAAAATTCTCCTTTTTATGTGGTGAAAATTTCGTTTCTTAGTTATAACTGTATCTTTCTCGGTTCTTTCCCGCGCGAAACAGTTTTTGCAATGTTACGCACTTGTAGACGGAGACAACACATGTAGGTAGCGTCTTCTTAATAATAATGACTAATATTTTTAAGTCCATCCTAGACCAGATATCTTATAAATCTAAGCCATGGTCTTCTTATCTTTAGAACACAAAGTTAAATAACTCAAAAACTACTTTATAGAATTTTGATTTCAATACATAAAAATTCTTTAAAAAAATATATGATAGTAATGTATGAATGTAAATATTGTAATGATTGAAATATTCAAACAATTATAAAACTTAAATCACAATAACATTAAAAAAAAATGGGAAACATTCTTCACAAAAGTAGTTGAAATTAAAGTTATTTTAAACCATACCTAAAGCAAACTAAATTAAGTTGTTAATATATTAAAATTATAAACTTATTTACAAAATAAAAATAAAAATACACAATTTGGATACATACTTAATGTTAATACAAAAAAATTACCCTAGAAAAATAGTTGATGGTAAATGCATCCAAGTATCCTTGATTTTTTATATCTAAAAATCTGAATAAATATCGTAAAGATTGAGGTTCATGCCGATTTTCTGTAGCTAAAACAAAGTTCAAATAACCCTTGTAGTCCATTTCCCCATCATATGTAAATGAATCTTGAAACACTCTATCCAAAAATACTGAAGTGAAAGCACCTGATTTATATCTATAATAAACAAATTTACCATTATTAACAACTCTATATACTTAGGTTTATATATTAATTTTGTGTACAAATTATTAATAAATACTTTGAATCATTTAAATTCTGAATTTTTAATTTTATACACATTTGTGATAATATTTGAAAGTACATTTAGTTTAGACTTAACATATCACTTATTCCATTAAATGAAGCCACCTACATCAATAAGTTTAGTATTACAGAACTTCTTCAAAAATATATTTTTGGAACAAAAAATTTTATTTTATTTTTTAATTTAGATAATAAATACCCATACTGRGTTCAGTACAGTTGATAATAAAAAAAACAATTAATTATTGTACAAATTTAAGACTAAATTAATTATTAGATTAAAAGATAACTATTTATGGAAACAATTAAACATTTTAACCTGGTTTAGTTATCATTGAAGAAGTAAAAATATTTTAATACATTTTATGTAGTTAGCATTCTGTTAATCATTGAAAAAAAACTTTAGTTCTGTCGTTAAGTATTTATATAGAATGTTTGATACACAAGTTTTAATATTAAAGAAAATAAAAGGTACTTGACTCAGTAGTTCTGGATGGTCAATTTGAAATTTTAGTAATTTGTAAAGTCAGAGCACAAAATTTTATTTTTTTATTTTTTCAAGAGATACAGTATTAAACTGAAATGCTAGTTGCTTGATAGATGTACATAATTYGTTTGTATTATATGCTAGCTCACGTTAAAGTCAGTTTTGAATATGTTCAATATATTAATTAAGTTAGATTGATTAGAGTTCTAAATTACTGAGCCGTACTCTATGATTAATCAAATGAAAGAAAAATAGTTTGATAATTGAACAGCCAGCAATTGCATGTCATATGAAACCGAATGGAGAGCCTTACTGTACATTGATAACAAATTTATATGGTTAAAAGATAGATAATTTGATAAATAATAGCTACATTTTTAATTTGAGATACTACTATTAAATCCAAAACCATTAAAAATGATATGTTTCATTAACAATGTGAAAAAGTTATTTGTGAAMATTTAACAGCGTTAATACTTGGGCCCTTTATTAAGCACCAGGCATAAAATTGATCTAAATCAGATTATAATTTATAGAAAAAATTGGTATTTATAGTTTAAAATTGTCTGAATAATACTACTATTTACTAATGTAAAATCATTTTAGGTTATATAACAGAGATAGGTTATAATAATTATTAAGGCTTGGATTTATAACATGCTTTTATTAATATTTATCAAGATATTAATTATAAGCATACTATTTTATTGGCTGAAATATCAAATATTTTATTGAAATACCAATTTAAAAAAATGTATTATGGTATTAAAATTCAATGTATGATGAGTRTAGTATGGGTATTGTAGTTTAGTCTGTTTTTGTTACRTTGTTTTTTATTTTTAAGATACTGTACTTAATGCACTATTTTTTTTTTTTAAATTAACTACTTAATTATTTACTCATAAAACCATACATTTAAAATAAATAATTTTGATAAATCAAAACTTGTGGTCCAGATTATGCTTATGTGGGTATCTGGGCCTATTTTTAAATGGGCCCCCTGTAAAAGTTATTTCTTATAAAACCAATATTATTTTTCCGAAATAGTTTTTTTCATTACAACTAATATAAAAAATAAAAACAAAATTTAAGTTACTTTAATTTAAAAGTTTTAATCTAAGTTTCATACAATTGCATTAARGTATTTATTAAATACATTTAAAAATATTTTTTTCTTGATATTAGGGATATAAGTAAAGTTTTTGATTCACAAGTTTTGAGATTTTTAGTACTATATATTATTTTGATACACAATAATTCAAGCCTTAATATTAACAATTGGTAAATATGTGACATGCTTATAGATCCATGATATTCTAGAACTATATGATTTTTTAATATTTTCACCCTTATATTTATTAAATAAACCACTAACTTATGATTTTCAAATGACAACCTATACTTTAAATTTCATAAGCTAATAAGGCTATTTGTTTTAAGCATTTTCACGTTTAAATTTTCATTTTTATTTAATCCTTTGACGAGATATAGCCTCTAAAAGTTGGATGGTTTTGAGAATTGTTAGTGTGTAAATATCTAGTTAGTAGATACTCTGGCTATTAGGAATTTTATGCATCGGGATAAAAAATATTACACTTTTCAAATCAATTTATCATCAATTTATACTGTACTGCAAGCTTAAATTTTGCCCCAAAATGTATTTTATAATATTCATCTAGTGTTTGCACAGTTCTCCTTACTAAAAGTAAGAGCTAGCATTTGCTACACTGATCATAATACATATTATCAATTATTAAGACCAGAAGTCAACGGTAATAAATTTGAGCTCAAAGTATAATAGTGATAATAATAATAAAAAAAAATTAATAATCATTGTATTTAGTACTTACCTATAGCATACATTAGGTACAAAGATTACCACTGCTATATCTTAGGTTGCACAATATTGTATTTATTACCTTTAACTCCTTGTCTTTATGATTGATAAGTAGGGTCCAGATATAAATATGCTTAAAATTGTACAAATATGCTCTAAAAAAATAGCCAAAAATGTCTAAAAAATGCATTTTACCCAAAAAATTATCTTTAAAATGCTATTTATGTACATATATATATATATATTTTTTTTTTGGAATTTGTAAATAGATTACATTAATAAATACACTAAATTTTTATAGTATATTGAACAAAGATGCATTAAAAACCAAAAAAATTACTCATTATTATTAAAAATGAAAAAACGCTGAAGTATGCAAAAAATGCAAAATACAATTTTTAGCTTTGAAACACTTGTTACATGAAACGAATTATGTACTTTGAAGGCATTATCTAAGATCAACCAAAAAAGTGCACTCTACATTGAAATCCAGTCACTATTGATAAATAATATAAAGTATTATGATCAATTAGTAGAGCATTCAATGGGGAGAGCTGCGCGACATCCTGCTAAATGGGTATTATAAAATACATTTTGAGGCAACCCTTACAGTAAATTGTATTTAATAAATTTATAGTAATTGTAAAGTACAATTTATAAACATTTTAAATAAAACAATTATATATACCCTGCTATTTCTTGGCGGCTCAATAATCCATTATGATCTTTATCCAATTCTAAATATGACGAATAAATATTAAGAGCAGATGGAACAGAAAACCAATTTTTTTTCTGTGATTCCTTACTCCAATTTTCTTCGCGGAGCTAAACAATATTAAAATAGATGCAGATATTACTTTTTAATTAAACCCAAACTTGTGCTATTATACTTAATATAATCACACAATAAACATGGATAATTACAATATGGGGGTTTCTAATTGATTGACTAAGGATTTTTCTAAAAACTGAATCTACATTATTTTTTATCAAATAATCCTAAATTATAAATTTTTAAAATTATTTAAATTATGTGATAGCTCATATAGAATCAAGCATCAATTTATGTTATTAAAATAGTTTTTTTTTTTAAATGCATAAATAACTGACCCACATTTTTCATTTAAATACAGCATATTAGAGTCCAAAACACGAATATCAATATTCTTTTTCAGTGGACAACATTGAATAGGGGTCTCCAAATTATGATATTCAAATTAAAACAATTTTTACAAGGACAGTAGATAATATAAATAATATTTAAAATCAATATTGCACACATACGTCAATTATAGCACCTGAATCATAGTAATATAGCTAAGCATATTTAAGTTTAATATAAGAACTTTTTTTTATAAATAATTATTATACTCGTATATATATACTTCTGTAAAATAAATATTAATATGTATTTATGTACTTTTTACCCATTAAAAACATTGAGATTTTATATGACCCTTGAATAAAGAGTTGGTAACTCTTGTAAAAGACTTTAGAATATAAATGACTTACCTAGACCTCATTAGATACAGTTTAATTTAAGATTGATATAARATCAAAAGAACCACAACATGATTTTATATAAATTAGTTAAATTTTGGTGTACATTGACATCTGTTAACTGTATCTAAGGTAACACAATTTTTAATAATATTTTTATATTGGTCACAATTAAAACTAAAACATTAAAATAATAAATTACAGTCTAAAACACATTATTTAAAGTAGGAAGAATGGAGTTTGTGGATATATACTTTATATCAAAGTGTCCATATCCCAGAAAAGGTTAAAAATCTTTAATATATTTATACCTCCAAGAGCTCATCAAGAAAACCACAAGATAAGATGTCAATGATTTGTATTTTCCCAGTTCGAAGAGGATCCAAGTAAAAAAAAAATTTTCTTACAACCATACAAGAATAAAATGAATAAAATATTTTTTCTAATTTCTTCAACTGCGTTAATGTAGGTATGAGATCTAAAATATAAGCTTCAAAATCCTAAAATTATAAAAATATTTTAGTTAATAAATCAATTAATCAAATATATGTAATTAAATGTATCACAAGTATATAAAACTTGTTTATTATCATTATTTTTTAAATTAATATATAAAAGTGTCATATTTTCTGGTAGTAAGCATAAGTTAACATTAATATAATAACACCTATGACATGTGTTTTCGCTCATCAGAATGCTGTTAGTTTTGATTGTTAAGTTTGAATCATAAGCATTTTCAAATATTAATATTTTACATGCTCCATAACTCACTTTAAAATTAAAATATAAAAACCAATAATAAACCACAGATAATCTTCAGTTCACATTAATATCAATATGAATAACATCATATAATTGAAACAAGTGAACAAAAATGTACTGTCATATATGTATAAGATAGAGAAAATATGTGCAGGTATAATGCCTTTCATGACTAAATAGATAGGTATGATCACATCAGTACTATGTAGTTCTCGTTCATTCTAGCGCACCACGCCTACTGTAGTTCTCATTATTTCATTTGCCGTTATAATTTTGGCGCCAATATTTTATAATATGAAATTATTACATGATATCACTACGATACTACAATGTTTACATCTTATCAATTCAATTTTACAATTTCTTTGCTAATATTAATTAATTTAATACAAACATTGAAACATGCCGGTTTGCTGCTTTTTAAATTGCCTCAGTGGAAGTAAAAAGGTCAAGTGGAATATTGTCGAACAGTTTGATAATATGGATAGCCAATGAGAAGCCGAGAGCTGAGTAATAGACTGGGTCTGAAGGGGAATGTGCGTATCAGTAAAGATGTGATCATACCTATCTATTTAGTCATGATTCCTTTTTAAATAAGCACTATAAACAATTGAAATTTATGATAACTTTAACTAAAAATATACTACCGYTTCGCTTAAATAACCACAACCACTTGAATCATATTGAGAAAGTCCATTTCTAGTCTGATCTATCCATATTTTTTTCATTATATAATTAAAGAATGTATCTATTGATAAATAACCTTTGATTTTACTGTCTTGTAATTGTAGAAATATACAAGGATTGAAAAACGATCTGAAATATATATAATTCACTGTTTGTAGTAAGTATATGATGTTAAATCCTTTTGGAAAAAAGTAGAACATATAAATAAATACAATAAAGTGATGAGATAGTTACTTGTATTTATCATTTAATTTCTGTTTGACTTGAATAAAATTTTTATAATTTATGTACTGGTTATGAATGAAATCGTTTAATGATGTTTGATGCTCTTGAAGCAATGACCACATATACTGAAACAAATTAAAACAATTATTTTGGAAGTTATGTCAGGTATGAACAATCATTAAGCATTTGATGAATTAATATTCCTAAAAAAATATTTTAGTGATCCACAATATTGATCAATTAAAAATGTGTTATAACATGGAATTTTTTATACAATAAAAATGTTTGAACATCATAATTTGGCTAAATTAAAATATGGATCTTAAAATAAAACAATTAGCTTTTCAGTTTTTATGATTTACTATAGCTGATCTCTGTGCACTTTGTTGCCCATTAAAAATACTGACTGACTCTACATGATTCAAAATTTTTCGTTTATACCCAGCTAGTCATGATTAAAACTTCTTGTGACAAATTCCCGTGGATTTAACCTAAACTTTCAGGTGACTAACAGATTAAGTAATAAAACACTCATTTTTTAAAGTTTTGCTGATCATTTAATAATAAGAAAAATGTTGRGACAAAGGACATGWTTTATTCCCAGAAATACCAACATATAGAGACTGTGATTTTTTTTTTTTTTGGTACAATCCACTCAAAAAATTTGTGTGATAAATCGATAAATCTATGGAACTCAACTATGTTTATTTTATTTTCGTTTTAAGTAGATATTTGTTGAATAAGCATATGTTCAAAAACGTTTTACTAATAATTTGAAATATTGTTC